ACTAGAACCCAGTGTGCTGGCGCTGCAGGCAGAGGATTAGCCTGTTGAGCCATGGCGCCAGCCACTTACACATATTTTTAAAAGGTTACCAAAGAAAGAAAATTTTCGAGGACCAGGAAGCATTCTAGAATGAAGATGGTTCAGAATGCCTGGACCAAAACATGTATTTATAGCCCTGGCCTATATTCTTGTAGAACTATGGTCTTCTTGCTTATTTGTTGAACATTTTGTTTGTTGGAGCATTAAATCTTTGAATATAATGCAAACTAAAACTATGTCATCACAAAAATAACAAAACAAATATTAGGTTCAGCAAAAGAAAATAAAACTGCAAAGCAGAATGATGAAAATCAGGGTGGCACCATGGCTCACTTGGATAATCCTCTGCCAGCAGCACTGGCATCCCATATGGGTGCCAGGTTCTAGTCTCGGTTGCTCCTCTTCCAGTACAGCTCTCTGCTGTGGCCCAGCAAGGCAGTGGAGGATGGCCCAAGTTCTTGGGCCCTGTACCCACATGGGAGACCAGGAGGAAGCATCTGGTTCCTGGCTTCAGATCAGCATGGCACGCCAGCTGTAAGAGCCATTTGGGAAGTGAACCAATGGAAGGAAGACCTTTCTCTCTCTCTCTCTCTCTCTCTCTCCTCTCTCTCTCTAACTCTGCCTGTCTAAAAAAAAGAATGATGAAAATCAGTTAAAATGGAAAACTACACTTTAAAAAAGGAATGAAAGACGCATGCTGCAATGTGAATGGGTTTGGAATCTGGATCCAATTGAATGAAGCCACACTCCTATGCCACATACTGACTAGAAAGCTTTTTATTTAATAAATATAAATTTCCAAAGTACAACTTTTGGATTATAGTGGTTCTTCCACCTATACCCGACCTCCCATTCCCAAACCATCCCTGCTCCTATTCCCTTTACCACCCCATTCTTCATCAAGATTCATTTTCAATTATCTTTATATACAGAAGATCAACTATATACTAAGGAAGAGTTCAACAGTTTGCACACACACATGCACACACACCAAGTATAAAGTACTCTTTAAAGACTAATTTTACTGTTGATTCTCATAGTACAATACATTAAGGATGGAGGTCCTACATGGGGAGCAAGTGCACAGTGACTCCTGTTGATTTAACAATTGATAATCTTATTTATGACATTGGTGATCACCCAAAGCATTTGCCATGAGCTGCCAAGGCTATGGAAGCCTCTAGAGTTCACAAACTCTGACCTTATTTAAACAAGGCCACAATCAAAATGGAAGTGCACTACTCCATTGAGAGGAAGGAAGGAAGGAAGGAAGGAAGGAAGGAAGGAAGGAAGGGAGGGAGGAACTGAAGGAGATGATTGGTTGCATGATATAAGTTCATGGGAGTTAGAAAATGACTACTAATGCAGAAATTTTTATAGAGTGATGAAGATACATTCAATCCACAGTGAAGACTATTGCACAAATGTGAACACAGTGTGCACAATCTAATGTATAAATCCAACTGATTTGAACAATTTAACAATGTTTCAATTTGGCTGTAAGAATTTCACATCAATCACAAAGCATTCTGCCCCCATATGCTATTGGAAAAACAAAAATTAAAACAAGGGAATAACATAACCAGTATTTTGACTGAAGAACATATAGTTACTGAGTCATTCACATGTGCAAATCAATATCCTATGTATGTGTGATAAAGATACCATTTCAAAGTAGCTCAACAATGAGTATTTATTAAGATTTTTTTGGAAAACAGGGTATACCCACAGTGGAATACCGCATGACCTACCACCTCCTGTATCTAGGAAAGAAGTCTCACTTAAATCACAATGCCAACAAATAAATGACAAACATTCAACAGCCAGGGGCAAACAGGAATGTGAAGCCTGTTAATTAGATGTCTAGCAAATAAGAACACTTACATTGTCTGCACATTGATAAATAATAGAAATTAATTCAGTCTCCACCACTTTCAGGGGTAGCTATTAAATATAAAATACATTGCTGGGGACAGGCGCAGTTGCTACTTGGTCTAATCCTCTGCCTGCGCACTAGAATCCCATATGGGCACTGGGTTCTAATCCCAGTTGCTCCTCTTCCAGTCCAGTTCTCTGCTGTGGCCCAGGAGGGCAGTGGAGGATGGCCCAAGTGCTTCAGCCCTGCACCCACATGGGAGACAAGGAAGAAGCACCTGGCTCCTGGCTTTGGATCAGGCTAGATCCGCTGGTAGCGGCCATTTGGGGGTGAACCAATGGAAGGATGAACTTTCTCTCGGTCTCTCCCTCTCACTGTCTGTAATTCTACATGTCAAATTAATAAATAAATAATCTTTTTAAAAAATGACCTTGCTGTTGTAGCCTTGATGGCCATCAGAGGTTTCATTTAAAGCATGATTCATTTTTACTCAATTTAAAAATTTCCCTAAATTCCATTACTAACTCTGAGATGGAGAGAAACAGAAGGTTAGTGATAGAAACCAAGAGACCTCCTATTCGGTGCTTCACACATCTACACCCCCAATGCTTGCACCTGGGCTGAGGTTACAACCAACAACAGGGATTCAGACCCTGGATTTTCACATGGGTGCCAAGACCAAGTTACATGAAGATTCACCACTTCCTTCCAAGGGCCCCCAGGACTCAAAAGTCCAGGTCAGGGCCAAAACCAGAGCCAGAAATAGATGCCATGAGCTCAGATTGCTAGGCTAAACATCCAACTAACAAGTCATTTATAATGGAAAAATCCATTTTAGCTCCTTCATATATCTGGATTGCTACTCAGCCTGCATTCTTGGTCCTAAACCCTGAAAATGTGACAGGAAAACAAGTGGAAATTTTTAGAGTCCCTTAGAACTTGCTCTTTTCTTTAAGCCTTTCAAAGAATTCCTTTCTGGTCTTAAGAGAATAATGTAGCACTTGGGGAGGAAGATGCAGCCCAGGAGCCCCACACTGCAGGCCAAGATGGAGAAGACCTCCACAGCCACCATGACCTTCCCCTTGGTGCTGTGGTAGACAGGCAGGAAGGTCACCCAGACACTGCAGAACACCAGCATGCTGAACGTCAGGAACTTGGCTTCATTGAATGTGTCAGGCAGGTTCCTGGCTAGGAAAGCCACAGTGAAGCTGGCCAGGGCCAAGGAGCCCAGGTAGCCCAGGACACAGTAGAAGGCAGTGGCCTGAACCCTTGTTGCACACCAGGATGATGCGGCCATGCTCAGAGTGTGCATCTGTGTCAATAAAGGGAGGAGAAGTCCCAAGCCAGATGCCACAAAGAGCCAGTTGGATCAGGAAACAGATAGGAATGACAGAGTTAGAAGCTCCTGATACCAGCAATCGCCTGATAGTTCTTCCAGGTTTTGTAACTTTGAAGGCCAGAATCACAGTGATGGTCTTGGCCAGCACGGTGGAAACAGCCACTGTGAACACAAGGCCAAATGTTATTTGCTGGAGAAGGCAGGTGGCTGTGTTAGGACGGCCAAGGAAGAGTAAGGAGCAGAGGAAGCACAGGAGGAGGGTGATGAGCAGGATGTAGCTGAGGGTCCTGTTATTGGCCTTGACGATGGGAGTGTCTCGGTGCTTCACAAAGACCCAGAGGATGGCAGCTGTTGAGGACAGAGAAGCACAGAGCCATGCAGGCCAGAGCCATCCCCAGGGATTCCTCAAACGCTAAGAAGGTCACCAGCTTGGGGAGGCAGCGGTTTCTCTCCATGTTTGGGTACTCGTGATCTGCACACGGGATGCACTGCTCTGCATCTGAGGAAAAAGAGAGACTCAACACTGACACTGAATTGCTGACTTGTTCTGTTTAGGAAAGTGGTCACCTTTGCACTGCCACTTTGAGAACAGACTGCCTCTATCATATACCAACAGGCACTAGGGTAAGTCTGTATTCCAAATCCAGGGAGAATGCTCTCTTCCTAGAATCAGCAGGTGCTCCAGGCTTTTGTCTCAGACATTCTGGACACAAATAAGCACCCATATCGATGAACTATGAATTCCCATATGATGATAATTTATTTTTCTTTCTTGTTTCATATACTTAATGGGTATAGCACATCACTCTGATAAGTTTTGTTATAATCTTTACACCTGAAAATCTGCTCCCTCTCTAAAGTGTGAAAAATTAAATGATTTCTACTGCTGCATTAATGGTCATTGAAGGATATTTTTGGAGTAATAGAAACTATTATCTACTCTGTACTTTGAATAATGGAAGCATTTTCTAAGTAGTGTTTATCCAGTTCACATAATTATATATTTGCCTTTGATAGATAATTCCTTAAATGTTAATTGTTAATGATGACAAACTGCATCCTGTATTATGATATTCTGTCTTTCATATTTTCACACTGCACAATATTAAGGATATGGCACAAAAATAATAAAATACTTCTGTATCAACTTGCACCAGCCTAGTACATTGTATTTGTGCATGAAAATACATGGATTTGCTCATCTAAGCAAGCATAACAAAACTTGGTGGTGATGCTTTTTACATGTCTTGCTTGGATCTAAGCATGGTCCACTAGTAGAGCTCAGATTAGGACTGCCTTTCCCAGAACTGGAGGGTAAAATAAGATGTCTTGTCAAATCAATAGCACTTTTGAGCCCAATAAGATGAGTGCCACCAGACACCAGTCTACACATAATGTGGTAAACATAGCAATCATAAAATAGATGTGTGAGATAGCGAGTGATTATATGTTCATAGCAATGGTTCACTGCAATCCCATTACAAATATTCTTGTGTTGCTTTTCCTTTTTTTACATTGTTATCAATGTAAAGAGAACATTTTTCATATATTTCATAGAAACAACTCTAAAGTGGTTAACCATACTTCCCTCCTCCCTTCCCTCCCAGAATACTCCTCCTTCCTACTTTTCATTTAACTTTTACAATAATATAATTCAATTGCTTTAGAACCACAGGCTTAATGCACCATTAGCCATAATATTCCAGAAGTAAAATGTAGAAACAGCACACTGTTCCACAGGGGTATAAAAAGAGCTAAAAACATAATGAAATCCTAAGAAGTCAGTTTCATTCTTATACAAGGCTTTTCTGTATTCTATATTAACTACTGTATATCAGAGAAAACATATGATGATAGTTGTCATTTGGGGGCTGAATTATTTCACTAAGCATAATGTCTTCCAGTGGCATCAATGTTGTTGCAAAAGACTGGATTTTATTCTTTCTTTTGGCTGAGTAGTATAATTATGACAGTGGAGTTATCAGTAGGAATGGATACGGTTTCTACCTGTCTGATTGGAAATGTCTCTGTCTGTACAAAAAGTGCAAGTATAGCAGCAGACAGGTCTTCCTTCCTGTGGCACTTTCCTGAATCCTGGGCCACAGCTCTGGCTACACACAGATTGAGGAGTCTGAAATGAAAAGAGAAACATTCATCTTGATTTTGCATATTATCACTTTAATGGAATTTCAATACTTCCCCCCCACACACAACAGAAAATATGACCTGGCTGGTGCCACAGCTCACTAGGCTAATCCCCTGCCTGCGGTGCTGCTTCCCTGGGTTCTAGTCCCAGTTGGGGTGCCCGTTCTGCCCGGGTTGCTCCTCTTCCAGTCCAGCTCTCTGCTGTGGCCCAGGAAGGCATTGGAAGATGGCCCAAGTGCTTGGGCTCTGCACCCACATGGGAGACCAGGAAGAAGCACCTGGCTCCTGACTTCGGATCTGGTGCAGCATGGTGCACCAGCTGTAGTGGCCATTTGGGGAGTGAACCAATGGAAGTAAGACCTTTCTCTCTTTCTCTCTTTCTCTCTTCTCTCTCTCTCTCTCTCTCTCTCTCTCTCTCTCTCTAACTCTGCCTGTAAAAAAAAAGGAAAAAAAGAAAAAGAAAATGTGACCTTCAGTTGAAGGTCATCACTGTGTCTCCTCTTATGCCTGCCAAGTCATCATTACCTAGGCAGCTAATTTGGAGCTTCTGTGGTCATCATTGTACTTTATCAACATGTAGCAAATATTACAAATGCAGTTAATCAATTTTATTTCACACATCACCCACTAACATCCTCTGCCATTTATCTCTTCTTATTGAACCACTATATCCAAAATATGTTTAATGTGGGTTTCTATGTAGCAATGGTTCTGGAAACTAGAAAGTCTAAGAACTCTTTGACCATGAACTCATACTTAATTGATTAGAATATTTTACATCACAGATAAAAGAAACAAAAGACATGATACGGAGGCACACTACTGAGAGCAACTGAAAAAATCAGGTCCACATAGAAATGGTTAGAATGTGTTATGAAACAATAATTGTGTTTAGTACATTTCTGAAATTCTCTATTCAGGCAGGCCATTAATTTCAAGAGATAAACACATCACTTGGGTGCAATGCATTGTTCTTATAAATAGCTCATGCGAAAAAAAATCATATTTTGGAAACAACACAAACTAATGTCAATACCTCAAGATGTTATGAAGAATAAAATGTGGAAGATTGAGTACCATGCAAAATGCAAAAAAAAGAAATGTGACCTACAAAGAGGTGAATGATAAGTCGACCCATAATCCACTGTGTTCATCATGCATCAGAACATAAAGGCCCCACCATATGTGATTAAGGCCTTCAGAATACATAGAGAGATATACTGAGAATTTATGTGTCTATACACTGATCTCTTTATTTCTTTCATTAATTATCCTTCATTATATTCACTCAATATCTGCATAAATATATATGCTCAAATTAAAAATAAATCAGATTATTCCAAGTTGCTCCTTCAACATGCATTGCCAAGAATATATATATGAATTACTATGTATTGGGAAGCCATGATATGAAGTGAGACTCTGATGCTTATGTAAAGGCTTCATACTTAATCTACTCCATGTAGGTCTGTGAAATTGAAAGGGATCCATACCTTTTTGAATGCAATAGGCCATTCTATCATCTCTTCATTGATGACCAAGGCTTGATCATGTGAACTCTTAGAGAAAAACTTTCCAATGTTGACCATCAACCCAAGGCCCACAGGAAAATTCACAATATTCTGGATATCATATTGTACCACATCGTGCCTTGTTTCATGAAAGGATATGTCATATCCAGCACTGTTCCTAAATTGGATTTTCTTCAGAAGTGGGTGAAGCTAGAGGACAAACATAATTGTAAGAAGGACAGCATTCAAGTTTAGGTGCTAGCGATGGGATTAAGATGGTGGACAAGGGAGGGTGATTGTTGCTCTAGTCTAGGAGAACATAGATTAAGAAAAAGTGGAAAGACTGTAGGCTCAGGGAAGAGTTAAGGAGAAAACAGCAGAGAAAACTCTACACAAATTGGAGGGACATGGTGGACCTATGTGGAGAGCAAGGACATGCACAACTTAGGACCCCAGCAGCTGAGAGCCTCTGCACCAGCACTGGAGAGTGAGGTGAGACCAAACCGCAGCAGTCCAAGCCACTGGCAAGAAGCTGCAGGAAGAGCTTAGAGGGAATCCAGCTTGGAGTCCCATGGGGGATAGTGTACCTGCCAAACTACAGGAGAAAAAACAAAGGTGGAACATGTTTTCTCTCTCCCCAATCACCCTGCAACTGTGTCTTATAACAAGCTGATAGAGAGCAGGCGTCATCTTGGACATACATAAAAGCTGTACCAGAAAACAGACAAGTAGAAACTCCTGAGCCTGGTGAGAACAGACAGGGGGCTGAGTGCTCATGACTGTGGGAGGCTTGTGTGCTGGGATTTGAAAACACTGAGGCTGCATTGGAGGACTCAGGGTGTGGCTGGGACATTGGACAGTCACTGTAGTGGGCTCCGCACAAACAGGGCTGCCTGGTTACCTGGTGAGTGACATTGCCAGCAATCTGAGTTTACACTGAGGCTGCACAGATCCTCTGTGTCATCCTTGTGGCAGAGCAGACAAATAATATACACACTGAGGCTAGCACCCAGGTACTGGTCTCCTTTGAGGAAAGGAACTCAACTGAGTCTACACCAACAGACAAGAACAAACATTCCCTCTGATCAAAAAGAGAGAGAGACAGAGAGAGATTTACTATGCAAACCTGGGTGTGTCACTGCAGATATAGCTCTCACACTGGAGCATTGAAAAGAGCTTCTTGGCCACACCTACTTCATAGCTCTAGGTAGCCCCTGAAAGCAGACACTCCACTAATACACACATAGTCCAAAGATGAAAGACACCACAGTGAAAAAAAAAAAAAAACAAAGAAATGAACAATTATCTCCACAAATGCCAAAAAACATATGAACAAATTCAAGATAGAGAATAAGGAAGACAACATGACACCCCCAAAAGAACACAACACGTAAATACTAGATTGTGAAGATAATGAGACTGAAGAAATCCCAGAAATGGAATTCAGTCAGAGATGCTGTAGCAGTGCATGTGCAAAAAGAAGTCAATTCCCAGGCTCCCTATCCTCAGGAATTCTTCTTAGGAGAGACTTGCAGGGTTTGAGTCGTCATCATCTCATGGGTTCAAGTGAAGAGAACCATTCTACCATTGCCTGATGACAAGGATGAGAACTGATGTAATATAATCAGTAAATTATATTAAGTGACTTAGGTATGAACTCTGATGTGTCATTGACCAGGATGGTGGTTTACTTGGGGCTTTATGGAAGTTAAGCTTTGTACTTCAACATGGGTTTGTCATGGATGGTGGTGCTGAAGGATGATTTTTTGATCGTAACAATTTGTGTTCTTACCTGAGTTCTTTCTAGGGTTCAACAAAGTAAACTTAACAGTAAGATTATTTTTTAATGTTTCAAAAATTTGACATATAAGCCTAGTTTATGTTAAAGATATACACTTTTCTAAAACTAAAGATGTCTGGAGGTCCCTGAGGACCCAACTTAAGACAAACATATGTGTGATATATGTTCAATTCTACATACATAAAATTTTATACCTCAATAATGTTTAGAATAGATACCATATGGGTTTCTCCTCACTCTATTAGTTGAGGGACTCATTAACTTTCTACATTTTATTTGGAAGTATATGACAAAAACCATGGAGTTCTACTTCTGTAAAAAAATGTGTAAATGCCATTAGTGGCTCCATGCCCACCCTGCTCTGGAGGGGGTTTACCTGCCAGGGAAGAAGCTTAGGTTGAGCTGCATCTCCTAGAGATCCCATTTCTACTTTCTCTAGAAACATCTTATGGAGGGCATGGGCCACTGCATACACAGCATTGTAGATGAAATAGCTAGAGTCAGATATGGTCATTATGTCAATGTCTCCTGGGGAAAACTCTAAGGAAGTGTTTGGTGGGCAGTCTCCTATTTCTCCACATAGCGACCCAGAAGGTAGGCAGGTGAAAATGTGGAACCATAGTTTAGTGAAGTAAAAGTCTTCTGGGTAGTGGGAAGGGTCCACTGTCTTGAGAAAATGTTTGAGGCCTGGGATTTCCCCCTTGTGTGGTGAAAATGAGAAGCCTCCATGGAAAGAGTGCAGTGCACGGTATGTCTCATGCACAACGATGTTCCACTTTGCTACCATGATCCACACCTTGCCCACGGTTAAAAAGTATCCTCCTGCAAAGTCCACACTGATGAGGCTCCTTACTTCACCATAGAGTATGTGCACATTTGCAGAAGAAAGGCTGATCCCAGTCATGAAAGTGATATCAGTGGAGGCATACAGTCTCTTGGTGGCAGGGAGCTTTTGTGTGAAGGCCACACAGAGACCTTTCTTTACCATCTCTGCCTCGAAGTACCGAAGGAACTGCTCTCCTTTCATATCATCAGATACAAAGAGCGCCACCCAAGTCCAGCCAAAATGCAGCAACAAGGAGATCATTCCATGGACCACAGAGCTGTCACTGGTGGCCATCTGATAGAGTGAGGGAAACCGGTCTTTATCACTTAGTAGAGGATCAAAAGGGCCATAGGTGATCTGAAAGCCAAAGTAGTCATGACTGTGAAGTATCTTTGTTGGGGTAAGGCTGAGATATTCTCTCCAAGGGAGGCCTTTGAGGAGAATGTTACTGGGTAAAAAGAAAAATTGCTCTAGAGATAGCTGAACTCTGTTATTCTGCACCCAGAGAACACCATGCTTCTTATGCCCTTTGCCTTTGGAAGAAAGCTGATATGATAGCATGAAAATGTGTAATATCCCTGTGAGCTCTTCACATTCTGCAGTGCAAACTGGGAAGGCATGAATTTTGAATGCAATATCACCAAGATAGTAACCTTTTTATTTTTTCATTTATTTGACAGATAGAGTTAGACAGTGAGAGAGAGAAACAGAAAGGTCTTCCTTCCATTGGTTCACTCCCCAAATGGCTGCTACAGCCAGAGCTATGCCAATCCAAAGCCAGGAACCAGGTGCTTCCTCCTGGTCTCCCATGCAGGTATGGGGCCCAAACACTTGGGCCATTGTCCACTGCCTTCCTGAGCCACAGAAGAAAGCTGGACTGGAAGAGGAGCAGCCGGGACTAGAACCAGCACCCAGATGGGATGCCATGACTGCAGGCAGAGGATTAATCAAGTGAGCCACAGCACCGGCCCTGATAGTATCCTTGCCCTCATCCTCACCCAGTGTGGGACAGAACCAAGGTGGCATGTAAACTATGACAAAACTTGTATGGCTTTTAGGATATACAAGTTCATTTCTTTTCACAACACCGCAAAACTTGTTATGAAAATCACAATTACCCACTCTGATTTTTCATGAAATAATTTTTCCAGCTTAGAATCCTAGTATGTGTCTGGCGGCAATGTGCCCATATTGGTGATGGTGTGTACTGTATCTCACAAAAGTCTCTGAGAAACTAATACAGTCCCTGGGAGGCAGCTGTGATGTTTTGATTAATTGAAATAGTTAACCCTCATGAGAGACCTGAACAGAATTTATAGAACCAGGGCCTGCAATGGCCAGATGCCCAGCACATCAGTGAGTAAGCAATGAAAGGAAGACCTCTGCTATCATTCTTTCTGCCTCTTGAATCAACAGTTATGAAAAACAATCTGTGTTTTCAGGAATTGTAAATAGTTGAACACTCACTGGGATTCCTATGAAGAAATCATTGGGTGCAGGTGAGTGAGAGAGGTTTGGAAGAGGGAGTCTGGGAACACCTATCTCCCTGGAACTGAGCCTCCAACACTCAGCAGTCTTAGGGAAGGCATGGCCCTCTGTGATGTCCCAAAGAAAAAGTAAATGTCCAGGTCTTTAAATCTCCACATCTGTATCTTTCACCTGCGGATGCTACCCAGGACAGGACACTGCTTGGTGCTGTGGATATTTCCTTGGAGGCACTGAGCTGTGAGTACAATGAAGTCAATAAGCCCAGTAGTAGGGGATGGATATATTGGCCCTAGGTAGGAATCTGAGTGGAGACTCAGCATTCACTGCCCCTTCGCTTTCTTCCTTCTCCCTCCCTCTGTTAATAATTTCATGACCCAGGGTTTTCCTGCTTTAAATCACGGTGGGATATGTATTCTTGGCTTCCACATTGCATTTTAGACACAGGTGAGAATGGAGTTAGGGGACATTCAAGCATTCTTCTCTGAAATTCAGAACACACATACCTGTGGGATTTTGTAGAGCTCCAAAAGGGTTCCAATTTCAGCAGAAAATGTTGCTGTGGTTCCTGCAATGATGGCGACTGATTTGTCTTGTTTTTTGCAGTTGTAGTTAGGGACAAATATACCCTGTCCTGAGAGCCAGTGCAGAGTGCTCCATAAATTGAACTGATCACTGGGAAAACCATTGTAGAGTTGGAAACCCAAGGACATGTTGGGGAGTAAGTGGGGATTCTTATTGATCTCCTGGATGGCAAAGTGAAAAGCCAGGACATGTTGGTAGTTCTTCCATAACCACCTATGAAGAGGTCATATTTAGGGAAAGGAGTGAGTTCTTCAGTGCAGATGTGAGAAAGAAGCAAACTGCCTACGCACACACTCATCTGTGTGAGCTTTATAGACAAGCCTGGATGTATCCCAATATGGAATCTGAGTTTTACTCAGAGACAGAAATCAAGATGCACTTTTTCTTTTCTGTTAGTTCTGAAAGAGTTTAAATGACAACTGATTTGCCAGTTGTTTAAATATTATCCTCTCTAACCACATTCACCTGAATTCATTTTGCATGTGCCATTTCTGCAATTTTCTACTCTGATGTATCAGCTCCTGTGAAAGAAGCTTTGTTAAATTATATTTACTTTGGGGGCCAGCACTGTTGTGTACTGGGTGGTGCCACTGCCTACAGTGCTGGCATCTCATATGGGTCCATTTTGTGTCCCGGCAGCTCCTCTTCCAGTTCAGCTCTCTGCTATGGTTTGGGAAGGTCGTGGAGGATAGCCCAAGTCTTTGGGCCCCAGCACCTGCGTGGGAGACTCAGAGGAATCTCCTGGCTCCTGAGTTCAAATCAGCACAGCTCCAGCTGTTGCGACCAGCTGAGGAGTGAACCACCGGATGGAAGATCTCTCTCTCTCTCTCTCTCTCTCTCTCTCTCTGCCTCTCCCTCTCTGTCTCTCTGCCTCTCCTTTTCTCTCTGTGTAACTCTGGTTTTCAAATAGATAAATAAATCTTTAAAAATTATATTTCCTTTGAAAATAAGCATTTGATTAGGGGCTTTTTTCCTGTTTTATTATTAATATAAAGAGGACTGATATTGTGCATTTCAAACACACAATTCTAAGAACATGGTACTTCCCTCCTTCCCTCTTCCTTTATTCCTTTCTTTTTTACTTTTAATTTTTAATAACATACTTTCAATTCACTTTATAATCACTGAACATAGTGATTATTTATAGCTACAGTTTAACAAGTATAAATAATAGATTTAGGACTTCTAAGTGACATAAACCCAAATTATATCATTTTGTTGTCCTTTTTCCTCTTCATTGAACTTCCTTAATATTTCACATTGAACATTCTATGCATTTTTTGCCAAAAAAATAACTTCCTGCGAATTGCTCTGAACTTTTTTCTAATTTCTACATTTCATCCATAATTTGAATCTTATGAAAAATATCACTTCTTCATAGGTTATATGAGACTAGAGGTTTGTATTTATTCTTATGTTTCAATGTTGGGATTAATACTAATATATAATGTCACTTTATTTTAAATATTTATAAAGCATTTTATACAGTTCCCAAAAGGCATAGTTTTCCATTTAGGAAAAATGAGTTTACATGTGTGTCACACAGTATTGTGTGCATTATTCTTACATATGAAACTGGAACTTTTCTTCTATTGCCTAAATAAATGTTCCCTTTATGGAAACATTTAATCAAAAACATTTGAGCTCATATACAGGATTATTTGTTATACATAAAGTAGATCCAACACAAAAATTAGGCTTTGAAGATCTGTCCAATGCTTACATTATTTTAAATGATAAATTAAGAGTGTTAATGATTTTTTTTTACTTTTCACCATTTTACCTTATTGCTATGATTTTCCTTTTTGAAGTGAAGTTATATTCACTCTAGAGCTATTTGTAGTACCTGCTATCAAGTGAAGTATGACCAGCTGAATTCTTTGTTTCCTAATGTAAACTTGTAAACACTGCTATAAGCTGGTAGAAAACCTTCAGAGATCATAAGCATCAAAGTGACATGTGTTGGGGCTGGCACTGTGACATAGCAAGTAAAGCCACTACCTACAATGCCAGCATCCCATATGAGTTCCAGTTCGAGTCCCAGCTGCTCCACTTTCGATACAGCTCTCTGCTATGGCTTGGGAAAGCAGTAGAAGATGGCCCAGGGTCTTGGGGCCCTGCACACATGTAGGAGACCCAGAAGAAGCTCCTGGCTCCTGGCTTTGGATCGGTGCAGCTCTGGCCATTGCAGTCATCTGGGAAGTGAACCATCAGATGGAAGACCTCTCTCATTCGCTTGTTTGCTCTCTATTTCCCTGCCTCTGCCTCTGCCTCTCTATAACTCTGCCTTTCAAATAAATAAATAAGTCTTCAAAGAAAAAAAGTCCTCTTTTAAAAAAAAATGTGGCAGGGCTGGTACTGTGGCACAGGGGATTAACACCCTGGCCTGAAGCATTGGCATCCCCTATGCTGAGATCCGGTTGCTCCACTTCCAATTCCGCTCTCTGCTATGGCCTGGGAAAGCAGTTGAGGATGGCCCAGGTCCTTGGGGCCCCGCCCCCATGTGGGAGACCTAGAGGAAGCTCCTGGCTCCTGGCTTTGGATCACTGCAGCTCCAGCCATTGCAGCCAATTGGGGAGTGAAACATCGGATGGAAGACCTCTCTCTCTCTCTCTCTCTCTTTCTCTCTTTCTCTCTTTCTTTCTCTCTGCCTCTCCTCTCTCTGTGTAACTCTGACTTTCAAATAAATGAATAAGTCTTTTTTTAAAAAAGTGACATATGCAGCCTTATTCCCCACATGGCACCAAAGCCCATAACAAGGTTGTTTTACCAGGGCCAATCTTTCCAGTACCAGATAATAAAGTGAATACTTCTCTAATCAATGACCCTGCCATAAACTTGCAGAGATTCAGAATATAAGAAGTAATATTCAAGATGGCTAGAGATGGCCAACATTTGCTCCATGACAGAAAATAAAAAAACAGAACAAAGGAAGGACCACATTTCCAGGGCACCAGGCCTGGAGCTATGCTCCCTCAACACAATCTCAGGAAATTCTCTTAAGCTTTTCTGTGTTGGAGCCAACTGGAAGTAGCCAATACACAATCCCAGAAAACCAAAACTTAGGAAGTCCCCTTCTGCATCTCTTACCACTTGGTGCTTTGTTCCCCAGGTTCTAGGTCTCAGCTGCACCCAGTAGCACCAGAACTGCAACTATTGATAAGCCCTGGGAGTACCTTGCTTTTCCTGTGGGACCTGGGAAATGCTCTATTTCCATTGCACTGATGGAAGTCCTTGGCTGACAATGTGTAAGCCTCACCACAACCTACACTTTTACTCTGGGACCTATGAAAGATATCCTTCCTGCTCAGAAACTACAGTACTGAGATTGTTAGTACTATAGTTCTTAGATCACCTGTAAACAGCCTGCAGGACCATGTGAAATCCTGCCTGCATTTAACTGCATGGTCCCTTTCAAATTTCCCAGTGCTAGAAGTAGAGCTTTTGGTGCTATAAGCCCCACTATTACCCACACACTGCCAGGAAACATGGGAAAGGTCTACTCACATCACCCAGTTACAGGGACAAAGCTACTGGTGCCAAGTTCCAGCAAGTCTGGGACAAGGGAAAGACATATGTGTCCCTCCCAATCTAAAAAGGTAGGACTGACATCACAAACTCTACTACAATTCACAGCTTACTCTGGGGCCTGAAGACAGACACATTTGGAAGCTCAAACCCACTACAAAATCTTACCACTACCCCCATGAACTGCTGCAGACTGGATAACTGTAGGATTTGTAGACACTGCTGACATTGGTCATAGCTGAAGAGATCACTTAGAGATTACAATCCTGGGCTCACCAAGAACCAAAGCCAGAGTAACAACCACACAGCTGACATTCCACATCCCATCTAAACAAACTGCTGATCTTGAGAGTAGGTTTTTGAAACAATACAATCATAAAAACCATAAAAAGGCCAGTGTGATATGTAGGATATCAATAAGTAACAAACATTTGTTGTTACAGGAATAATTAAAGGAAAAAGCCATGGAGAACTTCCTGAATGCAATAATTGGAAGCCTCCTAGGTCTTTTTTGGGGGGACAGGCAGAGTGGACAGTGAGAGAGACAGAGAGAAAGGTCTTCCTTTTGCCATTGGTTCACCCTCCAATGGGCGCCATGGCTGGCATGCTGCAGCCAGCGCACTGCGCTGATCCGAAGACAGGAGCCAAGTGCTTCTCCTGGTCTCCCATGGGGTGCAGGGCCCAAGCACTTGGGACATCCTCCACTGCACTCCTGGGCCACAGCAGAGAGCTGGCCTGGAAGAGGGGCAACTGGGACAGAATCCGGTGCTCTGACCAGGACTAGAACCCAGTGTGCTGGCACCACAAGGCAGAGGATTAGCCTATTGAGCCACGCCGCCGGCCAGCCTCCTAGGTCTTGAAAGAGATATGAACATCCAGATAAAGGACGTTTAACCCTGAACAGACTCAAACTATAAAGACTTTCCACAAGGAATGTTGCAATCAAATTGTCAAAAGTTAATAATAGGGGGCCAGCACTACATTGCAGTGGGTTAAATACCTGTCCTGAAGCACTGGAATCTCATATGGGCACTGGTTCTAGTCCTAGCTGCTCCTCTTCTGATATAGCTCTCTTCTATGGCCTGGGATAGCAGTAGAAGATGGCCCAAGTTGTTGGGCCCCTGCACCCATGTGGTTGACCCAGAAGAAGCTCCTGGCTCCTGGCTTCAGATGGCCTCACCTCTGGCCATTGCGGCCATCTAGGGAGTGGGCCAATAGATGGAAGACCTTTCTCTATCTCTTCCTCTCACTGTCTGTAACTCTACCTCTCAAATAAATAAATAAATAATTTTCAAGAAGAGAAGGGAAGGGAAGGGAAGGGAAGGGAAGGGAAGGGAAGGGAAGGGAAGGGAAGGAGGGAAGGGAAGGGAGAGGGAGGGAAGGGAGAGGAGAGGAGAGGAGAGGAGAGAGGAGAGGAGAGGAGAGGAGAGGAGAGGGAGAAGGGAAGGGAAGGGAGGGGAAGGGGAAGGGAAGGGGAGGGGAGGGAGGGGAGAGGAGAGGAGAGGAGGAGAGGAGAGGAGAGGAGAGGAGAGGAGAGGAGAGGAGAAGAGAAGAGAAGAGAAGAGAAGAGAAGAGAAGAGAAGAGAAGAGAAGAGAAGAGAAGAGAAGAGAGAAAACATACCCAGGGCCGGTGCTGTGGTGCAGTAAGTTAATCCACCACTGCAGCACTGGCATCCCATACGGGCGCCAGTTCTAGTCCCGGCTGGTCCTTTTCTGATCGAGCTCCCTGCTATGACCTGGGAAAGCAGTAGAAGATGGCCCAAGTGCTTGAGCCCCTGCACCCATGAGGGAGAATAAAAAGTTGAAAAAGATATTAGATACAAATAGAAAGAAAAAATGATCAAGAGTAGATGTACTCATATCAAGTAAAAACAGATTTCAATCCAGAAATTAAAAAAGAGACAAAGAAGATTATATATTAATAAGAGGATTCATGGAGCAAGAAGAAATAACAACATATAGGCATATATAATAAAAAACAAATATATAAGGCAAATATTATTATAAGTAAATGAGATAGATTGCAATACAATAACAGTGATACACTTCAATATCTCACTGTCATCAATAGGCACATCATCTAGCCAGAAACTCCACAAAGGTATATAAGAGAGCCAAACCATGGAGCAAATGAATAACTCAGGCATTGATAGAACATTTTAATTAAATACCACAAGAATATACATTCTCCTCATTAGAACATCAAACACTGTCCAGGATAAACCATACATTAGGTGACAATCAGTTCTCAGAATTTACATATACAACATAGCTCCCTGCTTTGACCTGGGAAAGCAATAGAAGATGGCCCAAGTTCTTGGGCCCCTGCACCCATGAGGGAGACCTGGAAGAAGCTCCTGGCTACTGGCTTCAGATCAGCACAGCTCCAGCCATTGCAGCCATTTGAGGAGTGAACCAAAGGAAGGAAGATCTTTCTTTCTGTCTCCTCCTCTCACTGTCTGTAACTCTACCTCTCAAATAAGCAAATAAAATCTTAAAAAAAGAAACTATAACCAACCCTACATTATCTATAAGAAACTCACTTCACAGGTAAAGATACACATTCACTGAGAGTAAAGGGTTGAAAAAGATATTAGATACAAATAGAAAGAAAAAATGATCAATGGTGGGCAGAATCACTGTATTCCTAAAGATGTACTTTTGAAATACATGAAGTTAAAATAAAATAATGGCTCTCACTTAGGAAAAAAAGACACTGCTTGGGATTCCTACAACCCACTTTAGAGTGCCAATGTTTGAGCCATGGTTCTCCTTCTGATTCCAGCTACCTGCTAATGTACACGCTAGGACGCAGCAGTGATAGCTCAAGTACTTGGGTCTCTGCCATCCTGGATTGAATTCTGAGCTGCTTCTATGGCCTGGCCTAGCCCTGGCTGTTGCTGGCATTTGAGAAGTAAACCAGAAAATGGAAGATATCACTTCTCTCCTGTCTCTGTTTCTCTGCATTTCAAAGAAAATGAAAATAAATAAAAAATATATAATAATTTTGTAAAAAGAAATCTCATTCACATTACCTTCAAAAAAATTGAATATTTAGGAATAAATGAAACCAAAAAGGTAAATTTATCTAGCATGAAACTAATAGTGAAATTTATTAAACACTTATGAGAGGCATCATGAAGGACACAAAAAATGGAAGGATATCCCTTGTTCATGGATTGGAATAAATGATAGTGTTAAAATGCTATCTACATTGCCAGTGCTGTAGCTCAATAAGCTAATCCTCCACCTTGCAGCACCGGCACACCGGGTTCTAGTCCCAGTCGGGGTGACAGATTCTGTCCCGGTTGCCACTCTTCCAGGCCAGCTCTCTGCTTTGGCCCGGGAGTGCAGTGGAGGATGTCCCAAGTGCTTGGGCCCTGCAACCCATGGGAGACCAGGAGAAGCACCTGGCTCCTGCCTTCAGATCAGCATGGTGCACCAGCCACAGCGCGCCGATTGTGGCGGCCATTGGAGGGTGAACCAACGGCAATGGAAGACCTTTCTCTCTGTGTCTCTCTCTCTCAATGTTCACTCTGCATGTAAAAAAAAATGCTATCTACAGATTCATTGCAATCCCCATAAAATTCTGGTGACTGAATAAAGAGTGGAAGAGGAAAGAGGAAGAGGCATTACTATTCTTAAAGGAATTATTTTCTTCTGATTCCACTTACAAATCTTGATGCAATCATTTCACAGAATACATTGGTGAATGCAATATATTATAGTGTCAGTTTATGCTATATACATGTTTTAGATATTTATTTGGTACAACTAAAGTGAATAACAGTGCATGTCTATCAAACATTTTAGAAACAAAGGACAGCTTTAAGGAACCAATGATAAAGTAAGATTGAATCTACAATCCAATTTCTAAAGGCAAAAGAATATGATGGCTCAAACTCAGGACTTTTTTCTGATTGTTTAAATTATAGATATTGCCAGTGGTACAACTAATACCCAGAACATTGAGGAACAAATAATATTCCTTGCCTGCTACGAGCAACCAGAAAGATCTTAATGCCAAAAGTAGACTTAGTTATTAAGATATTAGGATAAATGTATACTAGGCATTGTTATAAGCTCTGCCATGGATAAAGTGTGAAAATAATGTGCACCCAAAAAGCTCAGTCAAAAAGATCACAAACACATGAATCAGTTTACAGAAAATGTCCATAATAGGCAGCTCCACAGAGACCAAGGATGGATTAGAGTTATCCAGTGAAGGAGGGAAGGTCAGAGGGATGGGGGTGCACTGAAAATAGGTATGGAGAATTTGAAAGTCTCCCAGTTGATCAGCAAGTATTTGGCAATAAGCACTGAAAGATTTATGAAACAGCATACCTCATGACCTATTAATTAGCCTAATTATCTCAGTAAGAAAAAAATGCAAGCTTTATTAACTAAAAATGATCATTATATATTACTCATAATCACACACAATTAGTGATTTCCTAAATATACAATACTGAGCAAACAGGTGTGCATTATTAACATAAAATAAAACTTGGCTGGCATGGAAACAGTAACAATATCCATCAGTTATAGGGAAATACATTCATGATATATTGTTAGGTTTGCAAGCATAATAGAGGAGAAACTGAGTCTGCCTGTAACAGGGCTTACCTTGGTTGAGGCCTAGAACATTCTAGGACACAACAAGCACATGATGGTTGGCACTCTTCAGCACACAGGGAGGGTGGCCAGACATGTTTTGGGCTGGAGGACATAAGGCAGAGTGCAGAGTTTGGCCTCTAAACTTGTGACATAAACAGAACTCTCCTCTGGGACTCATGAACAAGGCAGGTCCTCACTTTCCCTACACAGAGCCCCACCACTGGCAGAATGCAAACAGAAATCAGCTGCCACCTAAGCAGAGAATCCACAAGCATGAAACGTTTTCCAACACAAGTGCCATTTCACTTTGGGACTAGCAATGAAGAAAATACAAAGAGGTAAGGAAACTCAAAGAGAAACACTGAAAAAGAACAAGAATGTAATGGTACTGTTAGGAGAAAATACAAGGTGTGATTCTGACCCAAAGATCAGCACCCCCACTTTCTCACTAGCACAGCACAACCTGCAGAGGTAACAAGTGTTACACACCAGAAAGAACTGACAAGGACAGACTCACATCATTTAAACAAACTGCACACTGCAAAACTCTCTCCTAACACATAAGCATGTGGATCTCAGGGTCGACTGAGAGGCCAACTCCACTGTTGGCACCAGCAAAGTGTGCGGACACAGGCCTTCTACTAAGCCCCTTCTTAGGCACAAACACAGTGTTCCGTTAACAGAAAGACACACCACTGATGCAAAGCTCAGAATACATGCAGTTTCTGCATTGTTCCTGGAGAAGAAAATGTCAGATTCCAAGGAGAAGCCATTAAACACATATGGAAGATTATTTCCCTTGCTTCTGATTTTCAGGATGAGGGTCCAAATGCCTCTAGTGTAGTAGGATTTAATTATTAATCTGTGAGGGCACAGGGTCTGCCTCATGGCTTCAAGTCACAGACAAAATGAGTATCACCCTTGTCATCAGTGGCTACCTAGACGGAGGCCCTCCCGACATTGACCTCAGGACATGGTCTTAGAACTCCAGTGTGCTCCCTCCAAAGGTGCTAGCAACAGAGGACTTGAGCTCCTAACCATCTGATTCCAAGAACCCCAGGGCTTAATCATAGATAGCTGGCCAATGGAATAGGCACAAAAATCTTAGTGCCTTGCCTATGTATCTGAAGGAGTCAGAAAGCAAATGGAATTGAAAGGTAGTGAAACGTGAAAGAAAGGAGAGGACCTTAGCTTTCATGGAACTGTGTTTCTGCCATTCTGTGCAGAATTGTCAGAAGCCTCAAGAGGTACTGAACACATACAGACATGAGCATGTACTCAAATGCAGGCATAACAACGCTTAACAGATATAGAATATCTAACATATAATGGATAGGAGTGAAAATGACATTTTGAGATTCAATGATTATTTACAGCCCTTGGATTACTGTTGAGGAACAGTGGGTTTTTCCCCTCATATTATTCGTTGAATTCTTTATGTACTGTAGGATTAATCTTATGAGTATAAAGAAAATTGAAAATAGGTTTGTAGAATTAGTAGTAGGAATGGGAAAGGGAAGAGGAAGAAGAGTGAGAGCACAGGGGGGAGGGAAGGATTACTATTCCTGATCCTGCATATATGAAATGCATGAATATGTCTACCTTAAATAAAACTTTAAAAGCACAGATACACACACCTTGAACTTACCAAGATGCCACCACTTTGTACTCAGGCTTGAGTAAAAAGGATAATTGGATCATCTCTCTTTCTGGTTCCATGTAGTACAGGGGAAAAAACACTCCCAGCACTAGGTCTCCATCTCTGAAGACACTTGGCTTCAGGTAATCAAGGCAGTTCTCATCATTCTTGACCTGTGAATTAGATAAAGCCTGCAGGAGTAGGTAGAGAAAAATCAGAGGCAATGACATGTCACTGTCTCCCCAAACTATAGTGAGAGCCCTGAGTCTCAGCTGAGAGGAGGAGACACAGGGCTGGATCAGGTCTGAGGGCTCATCAATCAGCAGTAACAGTGGAGCTCTGTGTAGAGCACAGCTGACTCCAGGTATTGACGAGTGTCCTCTGCCTGTAGGAACCTGTGTGCCAGTCTGGTGAGCTAGACCAGAGCACAGCTAGAAGCAGAATGCAGAGTTCAAAGCAAGTCACAGTGCTGAGACCTGGCTGTGAGTGTCCTGTGATCAGAGCTGCTCTGGGTTCCCTGTATTTTCAATGCTTCCCATTTGTCTCATCCAGAAACTCAGGGGATCCACCTGCCTGAGGCACTGCACCTGTTGCCCTCGATTATGGGGGAAAACCCTTTTGAAAAACATGTTTTGCATTTGTCTACCTTCCTTGCCTCTAGGGTTGCATCATAGTCCAACAAGGCTTTGGCAATCATTGCATCCTGGAACGGCATCCCTGTTAAACAGTGTGCACAGTGGCCAAGAGTTGTGTGAAGAGACAGCTTTCATAGATTTGGTAGGGTTAGAAAAAGTTTGTGTTGGAATGACAAAAACACCCAGCTGCATCTTCCCACATGATACTGTTGACAAAAGATGAAGGGTTGACATCAGTCACAATGACCTTTCATGCACCACAGGAATCCTCATCATTACCGTGTCTGATGTCACTCCCAGGGCCATAATATCCTGCTGCCAAAAAAAAATGGGCTTCCTGATTAATATGTGAATAATCCACATTCCAGAGAGAGGTGGAAGTTCATCCCCCACACCTACCCCTCCACACAGCTGAGCTCCCCACCCATAAGCCTGACGCTCTCCCCATTAAGAAGCTTAAGCTCTCAGCATCAGTGGTTTCAATGTGACAACTGAAAGGAACTGCGTTAGTTCTCAGCCACTTAATTCCTGTGGTCATATCTATTTCCTCCCACTTTTCAGAGAAAACAATAGAATGTCCAACGTGTATTTTCATTTTGAATTTCATTACTTTAAATTATGTAGATGTGTGTCTACAAGAGAATGATTTGATATCTGTACACACTGAAAATGGGAATGCAAATGTCCCTTTCACATACAAATTTCACATCCTTTAGTTGGAACTGCTGGATAGTATGAAGGTTCTATATTTAATTTTTAATCATACAATTTTCATTACATTGACACTAGATTACCTTCCTACCTGCAATTTGAAAGCATTCCCTTTTCTCCTCATCCTTGTTAACAATTATTTCTTCTGCATTTTTCAAATATTTATTTTATTTATATGAAAGGCAGGGTTACAGAGAGGGAGTCGGAGAGAGAGAAAGAGAGAGAGAGATCTTCCATACACTGGCCACAGTATAATTCCATATGATGACCACAATAGCTAGGGCTGAATCAACCCAAAGCCAGAAGCCAGGAACTTCTTCCAGTCTGATCTCCAATGTAGGTGGCAGGGGCCCAAGCACTTGGAACATCTGCTGCTTTCTCAGGTCATTAGCAGGGAGTTGGATTAAAAGTGGAGCAGCCATGTCTGAAACTGATGCCTATATGAGATGCTGGCATCAAAGGCAGTAGTTTAACTGCTGTGCTACAATGCCAGCCATGCTTTTGTGTTTTTTATAATATCCCTTCTAACAGGTTTGAGGTGAAACCTCTTTATAGCTTTAGTTTGCATCTCTTTGATGATTAGTGGTGAAGAGCATTTATCCACATACCTATTGATCATTTATAGGTCTTGTATTGAGAAATATCTATTCAAGTCTTCGCAAACTTTTAGTTCATTTAGTTGCTTCCTTTCTATTGAGTTTTGGAGTACCATTTATTTTTTTTTCCTTTTAAGATTTATTTATTTGAAAGGCAGAGTTACAGAGAAGCAGAGGCAGAGAGAGGTCTTCCATCTGCTGGTTCAGTCCCCAGAAGGCCACAATGGCCAGAGCTGCACCAATGCACAGCCAACAGCCAGGAGCTTCTTCCGAGTCTCCCATGCACATACAGCAGGCCAAGGATTTTGACCATCTTCTACTGATTTCCCAGGCCATAGCAGAGAGCCAGATTGGAAGTGAAGAAGCCAAGACTTGAGTCAGCACCCACAAGGGATGCCAGCATGCCAGGTGGTGGCTTTACCCTCTATGCCACAGTGCTGGCCCCGCACTCTACTTTTTAACCCTCTCTTCGCCCTCCCTCCTACCTTCTTTCCTTCTCTTTTGCTTGTTTTTAGTTTTTCAGGTAACATATTTTAAATTTATATTACACATCACTTCTCGGCCTTTTGGCTAAGATCAAGTGTAGTATCTGTTCTTATCAGTTTAAATTTACACTACAGTAAAAAAAGCTTATTACTTTGCAAAATAAGAAGTTTAATAAATAAAAAAGACCCTGGTTTAGTGGGAATAGACAATGGCCATAAACAGTTATTGAATGGGAAAATGACCATTTCTCCAACATACAGTAAAATTTTAAGTAATTAAAGATCATTAAAACTATAGTAGTATCACATTTTTAACCATTGGTTTCACCCAGGTATAAAACAAAATTTTACATATATATATATGTGTATATATATATATATAGATGCAGCAATAATGATACACACAGACATTTCTTACTTTTTTTCTTTTTTTTTAATTTTAGCTCCCACATAAAAGAGAACATATGGTATTTGTCTTTCTGGGTCCGGCTTAGTTCACTCAACATGATGTCCTCCAGTTGTGTGCATTTTGCTGCATATGATAGAATTTCATTCCTTGTTGTACAAAATGTACAAATATACAAAATATATAAATGCATATGTATATAAGATGTATATAAAATATACAAATGTATATTTTCTTTATCCATTCATCTGATGACCAACACCTTGGTTGATTTCACTTTTTTCTACTGTGAACAGTGCTGCTATGAATGTGGTGATGCAGGTATCTCTTTGATGCACAGTGTTCAAGTCATTTGGGTATATTCCCAGTAGTGGAATTGCTGGATCATATGCCAAGTCTATTTCTAGCTTTGTAAGAAATTTTCACACTGTTTCCCACATTGGTTGAACTAATTTACATCCCCCTAATCACTATATAAGTGTCCCTTTTGTCCATATCCCTCTACCATCTGTAACTCTCTGTTTTGGAATTTAGCCATTCTGACAGGGGTGAGGTCATATCTCATTAGGGTTTTGACTTGCATTTTCCGATGGCTACTGAGGTTGAGCATTTTCTCATATATTTTTTTGGCCATTTGTATTTCTTTTTTTGAGAACTGTCTATTGAGGTCCTTAGAACCCTTCCCAACTGGATGGGTTTTGTTTTGTTGAATTTTTAAGTTGCTGGTATATTTGGGCTATTAATCCTTTGTCACATAGGTGGCTTGCAAATAATTTTTCACATTTTGTTGGATGTCTCTTAACTCTATTGATCATTTCCTTTCCCATGCAAAAGCTTTCTATTGGTTGCTTCTTCACTGTATTGTCTGTTCTTTTGAAAATTTTTAGATAGAAGGAATCTTCTTTGTTTTTTGTCTTACTCTTGTTATGGCTTTTCACGCTTATCCTACAAATCATTTCCAAGACTAATGTATGCAAATTTCACTGATAGTACCTTCTAGTTTTGCATCTACATAGAGAAGATGATAGCATAATTTTTGAACATGCTATTTACACTATGGATGTAAAATATGAATGTGAGTATACTTAAATACAACTGACTTCAGTTTAAAATGGTTCAGATGACAGACTAGGGAGGAAGCTTGCTGCTCTAATCTATGAGAAGATAGTTTTTAAAAAGTGGAGAGAGTACAGTCACAGGGAACAGTTAGAAAACAGCAGGGAAATGCCACACAAATTAGACGGACACAGCAGACCTACATGGAGGGTGTGGATGCACACAAAAAAGGACTCCAGCAGCCAAGAGCCTCCATACCAGCTTTGTATAGAGAGATGAGACCAGACTGCAGTAGCCCAAGCCACTGGTGATAAAGCTGCAGGAAAATCCTGGAGGGAATCCTGATTGCAGCTCTGTGGCAGATAGTGTACCTGCCTAACTAGAGGAGAAACAAAGGAGGAAGGGGCATGTTTTTCTCTCAGATCACTCTGCAAGAGTGTCCTGTAAGAAGCCAATAGAGAGTGGGTGCAATTTTGGACATACATAACAGCTGCACCAGCCCATGTCCATACCCAGAAACCAGCTGAGTGGAGATGCCTGAGTCTGGCAGGGAGGACTGACAGGCACCTGGGTGCTTGAGACTGTGGGAGGCTTGTGTGCCAGAACTGAGAAAACACTGAGGCCATGTGGGAAGGCTCAGGGTGTGACTGGGACTTTTGGCAGTCACTGTGAGAGGATCCACACACTCAGGGCTCCCTGGTTCCCTGGTGAGGGACATTGCTGGGAAATCTGCTTACACTGAGGACTGCACAGATCCTTTGTGTGGCCCTTGTGGAAGTGAGACAAATATTATACACACTGCGGCTAGCACCCAGCACTGGTCTCCTTTGAGGAGATTAAGGGAGCTGAATCTACACCAACAGCACAGAACATACCTCCCCTCTGATAACAAAGTTTTACCATGCCAACCTAGGTGTCACCTTAAAACTCCCTTCAACCTAGAGCACTGAACAGAGCTCCTTGGCCACAGCCAAATCATACCTCTAGGTATTTGCTGCAAGCAGACATTCCATTAATGCAAAAGACATAGTCCAAACATAAAAGCTGCTGCAGTGAAAAAAAAAAAAAAGAAACCAACTAGTATCTCCACAAATCCCAAATAACAAATGTATCAAGAAACAAGAATAAGGAACACAACATGAAACCCCAAAAGAATACAACACTTCAATACTAGATTGTGAAGATGATGAGTTTGAAATAATGCCAGAAATAAAATTCAAAAAATGTATCATAGGATTACTTAAAAGTAATCTGAAAAAAAAAATGTACAAACTAGTGAAAACTGTACATAACATAAGAGAA